AAGCATACTGAATTACCTCATATTCCTGGGAAAACTTCAAGTTGTCATTTGCTTTCAACCTTTCAATGTGATCTGCAAGTTCCAAGATAGGTATTGGAGGATGGCTAGCCATACCTATTAAGAGGAAAGAACAGACACCATTTGAAAACACATGAAAACGATGTTAAGTCTTCCGAAATATAGAGAACACTATAGTTAGAAATGGCCTGAAAACGTATGAGTAGTAAAGATGTTTTATGTGAGGAAGCAGGCAGATAGTTTGGTTACTCAAAGCAGGGCATGCTCTGGAAGGATGGGTTTTGTAGCCAAATGAAAAGCCACCAAGCATAATCCCCAGACTAACACCCCTAGCGTCAGAGAAACCATGATGTTGCTAGGTATCACTGAGGTTAGCTAGAAGAGGAGACTGTCAGGCTTGATGTCAACTTCTGCTTTGAGTAATGACTGCTGTGTCATTTCAAACTCCTTCTCCTGCTCTGTGTGAAATGGCAATTGTATGGAATTAAATGGTGTAAGTGAACTACGAAAACAGACACTGAGAAAGGCCTCAAAGGGGAAGAGTAGTAGCTTGATAGAAAACATAAAGTGACTTATGCATGATCAAGGAAAACTAACTTGAAGAATGAAGGTTACCAGGGTAACCGGACTCATCTGAACCTGCAAAGGAAATGATGGTGTAAATAAATAAAATAGAATGAATTTGTTAAAAAAAAAAAGAAAAAGAAAGAAAGAAAGAAATGGATAGCCGATGGACTTTTTTGAAGGGCTAACAAAAATACTGCACGGTCTTGCAGGATTCACTACACACTGTGACTAGATTAAGATCGCTTTCAGATTTCACAGGACCTGAAGGTGACCAACACTCACATGCGACCATGGACACAGAGAAACATGCACCACAGCTCATCAAGAACAACCACCGACAACAAAATCAGACACCAAACTGAGTTTCAAAAATGTTTCCACTAGTAGCAGATTGTAGTGGTTGGGGTCGTGGCCTTCGCCCGGACATTGAGAAATGGCCACAAGAACAACTTGGTGGTGTTTTGCCTCAGGTCCCCATTATTCAACCCCCAGCAAACCTACAATCTACTTCAGGTGTAAACATCTTTGTCCACAAATGGGAAATGAATGCAGAAGAATGCGCAGGTAGTGAAAGGAGGAGGAGGGAAAAGGGTGGAAAAAGGAAGCAGTGACAGGGTGTGGGGGGCGCATCTTCGTTCAGTCTGCCAGCTGAAGGCACATTAGTTTCATAGGTTCTGTTAAAAATAATCCACAGTTCATTTTTGGTGATTCCTGAGTCTTTCTAATCTCTTCTCACTTTTCATGTGATTTGCATTTGATTTCTTTCAGATTAATTTCGCAAGAGTTCAATGTCTTATAGACATAAAGTCCAGCTGGCTAGAAAAACCTGAACTAGCAAGCCCCCTGAGAAGCCTCTGATATAAAGAAGAGAAAAAAGGAGAGAATGAGGAGGGGCTCAAACTGGAAGCCATGTTGACATTTCTTTGTTCCTGTGACTTCTTGGAGGGTATTAGGCTGTGGAGTCGCTAACCATTAAATCAATAGGACCATGGGCTTACTTTACCGGCATTTTAGATACTGTGCCATTATTGAAAGTCACCAGCAATTTCCTTTATCTCAAATGCCAAATTATCCATGGTCCTGGAAAGTAAAGTAGAAACCACTGTGCTTCTCCCAGATTATCACGTTAGCACACTGCTGTGAATTGTGGTGTTTTACTCTTCATGGCTATGAAGGTCTGCTTCCAGTCGGATAAAATCTTAATGGGAGATCCAATAAAAATGAGCAGACTTGGAGGCAGAAGCTCTTTGTGGCTGATATAATTATGCACTTGGAAAAAAAAATTGGAGCCCATTTCTGGAACTCTTCCACATAGACAGTAGAATTGAACTAATTTACATTCTGTGGAAGGAGTGGGTAGGTGACAGAGATCTGATAATTAAAGTGATCTTATCCAGATGAGGCACCCCCAGTGAAAAGAAATGCAAAGGTATGAGAGACTCTAGACTTATGGAGGAATGGAAATGGACTGATGTGGACATTCATTATAGTGCTTTAACAGAGAAAATAATAGAGACAAAGATGTTTAGACCTTTTCGAGCGAATCGTGGGAGAGAGTTATTATCATATATGGACTGAGTGGTGGTTTGGCTAGAGAGGGAGGACACAGAGCCAATCAGGGAGGCGTAGGGGACTGAATTACTGCTCAAAGCTGCAAAAAGCAAAGCCAGTTGGAGATGGGAAAAGTATTAGTAAAACAGCAGTAGAAGACCATAATAATCAACCAAAGATGCGATCAACATATTTACTTTTGCATGCACTGCCATGTGGTCTGGAAGTTATTACTTTGGAAGTTAATTACAGAGAAATCCAAGCAAACCTGCAGTGTTTCATTACATTCTAAATCAGAACATATATGTATCGTGCACAAAGATACTATAGCATTAAAGCATCATTATTCAGTACTTGACAATATGTACCATATTGGCACAAAAGTTGTAGGACAAATAAAAATGGCAGAATGGATGTCTCACAGAAAGGGGAGGAAAAGTTGTGGAAATCCAATTCACAGAAGAAAGATACTGGACATGAATTCTACTTCTGGTTCTATCATTTACTAATCGGGACAAATCACTTCTGCTATCAAAAACTAAAATTTCTTTATCTGGAAAATAATAGGGGAGAGTCAGATAAATTCTAGAGTCACTTCCTTCTTTATAATTCTTTCATTTCAACCACATATAGGATTTCTGAACATATGGAAGAACAAAGAAGGGTATCATTGGACTTGATTCACATATAAGGGTTCCAAAAGTTATTGTATCTTTTCTTTGATGGGTGGGAACATTTATTTTTTGCAAAATAGAAAACTATGACGCAGTTGAACTGTCTACTTTTAGGATTATTTAAGCCTAATATCACATTCTTTAGCTAAGCAAAAAGTAAGTACAGTATATTCTCAACATTATATATTTGAAAAGGAAAGACATCAACATAAAAATTATGCTACAGGATAAACCTGAGATGAAAATCTTCTAACTTGAAGCTCTTTAGTTCATATAAGTAAATAGTCATCAAGGATCAAAATACTGTTACATACTTCCCCAGAAAGCTTTCTCCATTGTTCAATGCTGAAAAAAATTTATCTGATACAATCAAGTCATGCTACATTCTTAATGAAAAACAGACATTAAGAAAACTGTAAAGTTGACCTCAGTATAGTATCTTTTCAGTCTTTTGGCTGGTGACCTGGCTGTTGCCCACAGCACGCCAACCAAGGTTGGTTTTGACTGCTACTATCAATTTGGAGTAGACCAGCAGACATCCGTAGACACCTTTGTCTTCACATGAGGATCGTCTGATGAGCTTTTAAAATTGCTTCTTTCCAGGATTCACACCAGAACAATTAAGTCAGAAACTGGGTGTGGAAGCCAGGCATTGGGACTTTTAAAGCTACCCAGTAATGGTTCTCAGTGCCTGTATGGATTGAATATTGTCCCCAAAAAGTTATGTTGAAGTCTTAAATACATACTTGTTAATGTAAATATGATCCCATTGGGAAATAGGGCTTTTATTTTGTTACGTTAATGAGGCAACACAGGGAGTAGGGTGGTGCTAATCCTAATTCCTTCTCAGTGGTGTTTTATAAAAAGGAGCAGAATAGACAAACACGCATACAGGGGGAAGAGACCATGTGAGGAACCGTCAATAAGCCAAGGAATGCCAAGGAACGTCCAGGGCTACCAACAAGGGGGGCCCTCCCCAGGAGCTGAGGCCTTGATTTGGACTTCTAGCACCGAAACTGTGCAGTGAGACAATGCATTTCTCTTCCTTAAAGTCACTGATTTGTGGTATTTTTTGTTACAGCAGCACTAGGAAACTAAGACAGCGCCTATGGGAATTCACTGTTGGGTGCCTGTAACTTCATGTATTTTTTTCTATTCAAAAATCATATCAAGATTTATGAGAATGAGATCAGTCTTCTCCTGGAGACACCCGTGAGTCCCCTCTGACTTCCCATTAGCAAGCTTTAGTGCTTTAGCCATTATTTAGCAGCAAAGAACTTGAAGCACAGTTTACACCTGATGAGGACTCGCCCGTGCCATGCCCTCATCAGCTCAAAGCTACAAATGCACAACATAAATGCATTTCAAAGGCACACACTGAATCTGGGCCGAGTTTTCATTATGGAGCCAGGACATTCACAATATACAGCGTCAACATGAAACATGACAGATGCCTTAGATTGGAAGAAAACAAAACAAAACAGGATGGTACTTTTAATGGGGTACATATTTATGATAGTAATGTCACCATGGCTTCCTTATAAGAAGTGAAACTTTTAAGTCATGGCATTTTAAGCTGAGAGGTATCTTAGAGATGATTAAGTCCATCATTTTCATTTTATACAAGAGGATTACGAAGTCAAAAGTTAAATGACTTGTATATGTTGGCCCACTTAGTGAGTAACAAAATCTTAACAAGCAGCTTTAAGGTCTTTCTACTGTACTAATTTCCAGAATGGCAATTAGGACATTCTAAAGCAGGGGGCAAAGTCTCCAATGCCTGAAGGGGTCAGGTGAGTAAGACTAAAGATGGCCAGATACTATACAGCCAACACTTTCCCAAAGAAATGCACTCATTCCCATTTCCTTGAAACAAACAGCCTCTGGGGCTGCCTTTTCACTTCTCCACTTGTGATGGAGGCTTAGGGAAGAGAAATATTTCTCTACTATAAGAAAAATAACATTAAGCATGAGATGGACGGCAATTAACACTCTGCCTCAATGTCAGGGTCACTTTTGGGGTGGTGTGGGTTATGGAGAACTTCTGAGAAGGGTGAAGCTACGCAGCTCCAGTAGATGTTTGCCAAGTAAGAATGCAGGGCCAATGGGTCAGACTTTTTAGCCTTTCAATAGCAACTAAAAATCCAGATTATTACACTATGTCTCTTCAGTTTCCAACGTTGACTTAAATTTGTTGAAACTCAGCGGCTATCAAGCAAAAGAATTTACAGGCCACATTTGTCCCACTAGCTTGTGAACACTGTTTTAAAAGAACAAAATCTTTTTTTTTTTGCCAATTAAATC